GAGCATTTCTCAAACCTTAGATCTCATCAAATTATTCAAGGAGCTTAATAACAGTGATGATTCTGCCTCTACTTCTCAAAATTCTGTATCATATATGGGGTGGGACCTGGAAGGTGCATTTCTAAGAAGCTTTCCGGGGAATTTTGTTCCAAATAGTCCATATGCCAGTATGAAACTTGCCAGTCTTGGAACTTTCAAGAAGAAACGTCAGTTAACTGGAGGGATCTATCAGAAGCCCTAAAACGAGCACTAAAGAAGCAGAGAGGCACATTGGCAAAGTTTGCAGACGAGCACCCAGGTCTGCAATTACTGGTGCATTTCACGTATAAACCATTTGACTGGAGAACCGTATTTCAATATGCGTGTGGTACGACAGAACTGCCGAAGAGGAAAGGTGCTTCTGCGTCTGAGATGTCATGTGCTTAGTCCCCCAGTCGTGTCTGACTCTTTGCGACCCCACGGACTGTAGCCTGCCAGGCTCCTCTGTCCATGGGGATTCTCCAGGCAAGAAACTGGAGTGGGTGGCCATACCCTCCTCCAGGAGATCCTCCCGACCCAGATCTCCCGCACTGCAGGCGGATCCTTCACTGTCTGAGCCACCAGGGAAGCCCAAGACTGGAATGGGTAACTGAGATGGGCGTTTTCAGCTCTTCACGGGATAAAGTATGATTAGCGTACAAAAGTAAGAATGTGTTCACATCACATTTCTAACTGGTGAGAGCAAGCTTTAATGCAGGAGGAAGACTTTGAATTCAGAAGTTTACTTTCAACTCTGCAATTTGACAGTCGTTTGCTGCTCGAGCTTCCAGGCTTTAAGTGGAGTCTACAACCTACCCCAAGAGACAACTGTCAAGAGTGAATAATTATATTTTAATAAAGTCCTCTGTAAAGTATAATGCAACAAACAACAAAAACCAGCATAATGATAGAGAACTGGACGTTACTAACTTTCTTAAACATGCATGACAGACTTTTTGTAGGCAGCTTAATGAGAAGTTAGCAAAGATGGCAACTTAAGTGTCACGAAGCCCAGTGGCATGCCAGAAAGAAGTGGGAGCCAGCTGACTGGTGAAATCAGAACTCACGGGACATTCCAGAGGAATGTGAGAAAACATCCTTTTCTCTAAAGGTAGCAAAGGATAAGGAAGAAAGAAGGCTCAGCAATCCAGGGCAAAGCTCTACTTCACTAAGTTACCCTACCTAGTAAGGTGTTGAAGGTGTTCGCTGCACTTAGGCTAAGTCACAGTGAGAGCCCAACAACTTCTTATTCAACTGCTGCTCAGAGCAGTAACCTGGGACTTCTGCTCAAGAACACAGCAATCTCACACTGAGAACTCAGGAGAGGATACTTGGTGGCTTCTTCAAAGAGGGCTGGCCCAGGAAACGGGACAGTGGCCTAGTTGTGTGTCCAGGAATCTGGGGCTTGGCTTAGCTACTTTTGGAGAAGAAAGAATATGTGCCCTGTGGACTTCTGTTTCTGATGGGGGGTAGGGGTGGGGGTGGTGGGTCATAGTAAGGTGGCATAATAAGGTGGCATATCCCACTGCAGTTCACTCTGAAAAACATTAATCTTGTTTCAGGTCAATGAAGAGACAAAGACACCAACCCAAACAGAAGGTGAGGGGAACAAATGCCCACAGAAGCCTGATGTGGCAGTAGCAGTGGCCATCCTGGCTAAGGAATATGGAAGAAGCCAGTTCATTTCTGGGGTTCAGGTGGAAAAACTGCAAAGAAAACAGGTTAGCTAGAATTTCTGATTCCTCCTGTATCCCACACACCCTATATCTCACCCTGAGCTTGTTATCAGAAGCTTAAATTTGCTTATATAAAAAGTCCCTTTAGGGACTTCCCTGCTGGTCCAGTGGCTAAGACTCCCTGCTCCTATTGCAGGGGGCCCAGGTTCAATCCCTGGTCAGGGAACTAGATCCCAAGTGCCGCAACTAAGAAACAGCACAGCCAAAAAAAAAAAAAATTAAAGTCCCTTTAAAAGGAAAGAAGTGGGGAGGTTATTTGCTATGTTGGGTCAAGAAAAAGCTTTTGAGCATAGAGACATTTTATCTTTAATATCCTGCTCATCAAGAAGTCCTGCTAGTGATGGTGCATTCTTCTACATCAGAGAAGAAAACCATTTGATCATCTTTTAGTTCTATGATATACCTGGCAACATTTATGTGACTAGTGTTCCATGCAACAGAGAATAAAAATGACAGGTAAGAATGCATGTTCTATAGGGCCTCTTAAAAGAAAATCTACCTCAAATATGAAAAACATAGTATCTAGTCCTAAAATGTATATAGGCTATACCTTAGTACATCATGTACAATTACAGAAAACAAGGGAAATGAGTGTAGAAAATACAGGCAGGCCAAAGAGGGTGGGGCAAGAGTCCAAACCCAAATGTAATGCTGTGAGAACGAAGCATGCATGTCCACTTTAGAGGACATGTGATGTAAGAAAAGAAACTGAGGATGAAAGCAAAGTACTGTAAAAAGAATTTGAACATTAATATGAGAAAGTGAGATATATTTTATTAAGCAGTTATTTCTGGGATCAATTTCCCTATGCATTAGTAACTGGGAATTTAGTTATTAGTTATGTGGTTCCCACCATTAAAAATAAACAAAGCCAAATATAAGGAAAAGAATGATATTTAAAAGATGTTTCAGTAAACAGAAGAATGGACATTTAACAGGGAAGCCATATATAATGTTGTATAGGACAAACTAAATTATAACTAACATGAAACTTGACAGCAGAAAAAATAGCCTTTGCTAAGAGAAGGGGGGTAAGGAGCAGGTGACAGACAGCAAACTGGCCTCTGAAATGCCACACTACCAGATTTTCAAGCTACCTATCAGCAACTTGGGGTGGGTCAAGAGGGAATCTACTGCCATGAACAAAACAATGAATGGGTTCTTCTCAAAGAAAAGGGGAATGAGGAGACAAGAAGAGTGATCATGGAGCAGTAGAAACAATGAATCCTATTTACGTGAGAAAGGAGTAAGTCAGTCAATACAGTATATATGAAAAGAAGAAAACGGAAGAGGTGACAGAAAGACAGTAAGATTTACTACATTCCTAAGAAAACGATATGTTAATGATAGTAAAATTGGTTAAGATTGGCTGCAGGGAAACAATTTTGAATATGCAAACATAACAAGCATATAACTGAAATTACTGTGCTGACACTACATGTGAAACCATCTGTTAAATGACAAGTCTGTGCATCTGTCAGGTGGGTGGTTACTAAGGGCAACAGCCAGGTCCACATACCTCTAATCCAGAGAGATATTTAATAGCTTTTTAAGCCAAGCTGTCTTAATGCTCTGCCCAGGAAATTCTAGGAAATGTTGGTAACAGCAATATGGTGACAATTGCTTAACTTGAATTGTAAGCATTTTTTATTTACTTGTCTATACTCTTTGCCAGAAGTGCTAATAAGCAGAGGAGTGGTTACTGAAGCAGAAGGGAGAAGCAGGGGCCATGAATAATCCATCAGCTGGAGCATTAGCTCCTGGACACCTAGTATCTGACTCTCTTGGCTGATTATAAACACTCCACAGTTGATAACACTCTATCTTCATGTAACTAACATTTAATTATTAGAAGTACATAATTACTTGTTTAAGAATATAAATGAGTTACTATTAGGAAGAAAGTTTAGGTCACTTAAGACTATTGGGAAGTTAAAACTACGAGTTGCTGCTTAAATGGAAAGGAAAGAAGGAAGAAACACAGGTTACAAATGATTTATAGAAAAGACTCTGAAACCAATGAAGAGAGTAACTTTTCCTTACTCCAGAAACAACTAAGGATGAGAACAAGGGGCAATATGCCATGTTAGGATTTACTTGCCTGTTTTTGACTTTTTCTTTTTTAAAGAAATCTGGGCACTCTAGAAAGTGATCATGTAAAAGTATGAGATTGTTTTATATCCTTCCTACACAGAAAGTGTAAATAGATATCTTCAAGGAGTGAATGAGCTTAAAAGAAAAATTCTGTGGATCTGTAACAAGAACAACTTAGATTAGTCAATTTGCATTAAAAACTTAACTATGTGCATTTTTCTGTATGTGTAAACCATACACTAATAAAAAGTTAAAAACAATCACTAGTTAAAAAACAAACGAAAACTGTCTAAATAAATCCTGAAAAACCAAGTGTTTTGACAGGGATTTCAGAGTAATAGAAGACAAAGAAAACACCAGGATAATGCTAATAGATAAGCACATTCCATAAAGCTAAAGTACCCAATAATGCTGGTGGTAAATTACTGGGACTGAAAAACTGAAAACTGAATCTTCCTGGTGGATACTGGTACTCTGCCTCATGGTGACATTAACAAAAATGGACTTTTAAAAAGTGAAAAACATACTGGAAAACAATTCCCTTCTCCAATACCAGACAATGAAAGATAGCTGTGGATTTATAGCCATGGTAATGATGGTTTCCTCCCTCCAGTTCTTATATGAAGCTGGCCTGCCTGGGCCTCCACCTCAGACCCTCAGAAGAGCACTCATCTCCCTGAACCACTAGACTCAGCACGCTTGGGAATTCCATTAATGCAAGTGGACTGGGTAGGAACAAGTTTGTTACTTTATCCTGGTCCAACAAAGATTGGACTGGGAATGAATTTATGTCCCTCACTTCCCCAACGGTCCTGCTATAAAGATGCAGCTGTCCAGAGTTTATGGTGCTGAATTCAAACAGGAAACCAGAAAACTATAACTGAGGTGCAGACCATAGCCACACCAGCCAAATCTCCAAGGGAACTGAGACTTCAGGACTTTGTGTAATCGGTCTCCTTTTTTCAACTCTGTATATTTGGGGTATGTTTCCCACAAGTAACCCAATTCCTATGGTACAAGTGAATTTTATTTGGGCTATACTGATATGACATGGAGTTCCATCTTTGGCAATAATACATACGTGAGAAAGAAAAGTTGACTAAAGTTTGTTAATGCTAATATTATTTTATTTTTGTCTATTTAAATGCTTACCTCTTTGACACTATGTGTTACTGCCCATATTAGAAAAACTCTTGACATCACCTGGAAAGAAGTCAGGACAACAGAAGATGGAACAATTCCTGAAAGAAAATTTAGGAAGGGTAAATAAATGTATTGTATTGAGTTTCAAAATGTAATCGATTTCCTAAAACATCGAAATTTTAATGTTTAAAGCCATCATGAGCAGCTGAAATTCATCTACATTTCTATACAGACTATGTTTTTCAGTGTAGTCAATATTAAAACTTCTCCTCCCTCAAAACAATAATATTGTTAATGATAATAGTAAAGCATGGAATCTAGGTAACTTTCCTAGGTCTTTCAAAGTCACTGACAAAGTACAGTATTTTTTAACATTTTTACAGGAAGAGAAAACAAAACCACTGCTTAATGCTTAAAATTAGACATTGAAAGCTCATTTTAAAATGTGGGTTTCAGAAATAAACAGGCACCTATGGAAAGGAAAATCAATTGTTTGTGTCAAGAGAACGTTGAAAGCTCCTGGCTTTCAGACTGGATATGATACACTAACAGTTAGGTTGCCATCTTTTATATTTTGCCAACAAGCAGACAAACTCAAAGTTTATATACCATTTTTTCTCACCTTATTCATTAGGGTAAGCACTGGTACAATTATCTTTCCAATGTCCTCAAGTTATAACGCTAGAATTATGTTTAGTTATTTTTGATAATTATCAAGTTCTGCTAAGTTTACATTTCTTTGGCTTCCCCCTTCAATTCCTACAACCACAGTCCGTATCTAGAGACCAGCCACCACCATTATATAAAAATCTTCCCTCCTTTAATTCATCTTAAACCAAGTAATAATTCATTATCTAAAAATATTCTAACATTGGCAAGGAACTGCTACAAAAATAAAATCTGGAAGCAGAATTATGGGTATCCAGTCCAGTAAACCCTCCATCATTTCTCTCTGGTCATACTGCTATCAGTAACTACACTTACCAACTTCCCAGACCTGTCCAATTGCATGTGGGCAACTCCACACTTGCCAGGAACCCCTTATCATAGGTAGTAAATTCTTCATCCACTTTAAAACTAACCTCATCGTCAATATATTCAGTGGACTATCCCTGATCAATTTTCATTCTTCCAAGCCCTCTAAAATCACTCAGACTTCTGGACATTTACACAGCTGGACAAACTACAACTTGCCAAAAGCCCATGTGCAATCATATGAAGCTAAAATTACCTATATAGGTTTGGCTATGAAAGAAAATTATTTTATATCTCATTAAGAAAAAAAAGGTACTACATCCTATTAGAATGAGTTTTAAAGAAGATTTGGGCTTTAAAGAGGTATGGTTTGGTTTTCAAAAGCAAGCAAAATGGACATGTCAAGCACAATGCTTGGCATATAAAGATGCTCAATAAACCTTTATAGAATGAATGAGAGTGGAAGTGTTAGTCACTCAGTTGTGTCCAACTCTTTGTGACCCCGTGGACTACAGTCCGCCAGGCTCCCCTATCCATGGCATTTCCCAGGCAAGAATACTGGAGTGGGGAATAATGGAGTACCATTTCCTTCTCCAGGGAAATAGAATGAATATAAAAATATAAACATATGGACATACAAATATATGGAATAGAACTGAGAGTCTGGAAATAAACCCTCACATTCATAGTCACTTGATTTTTTAATAAGAGTGCCAAGACAAACAGTGGAAACATATTTGTCTTTTCAACAAATGGTTCTGGGATAACTGGATATCCACATGCTGGAATGGAGCTGGGACACCTTCTTAGACCAAATACAAAAAATTCACTCCAGATGGATCACAGATCTAAATGTAAGAGGTAAAATTGCAAAACTCTTGGAAGAAAACATAGATGTAAATTACTGTGATTCTGGATTAGGCAATGGTTTATCAGATATGAAAACAAAAGCACAAGAAATAAAATTGGGCTTTATCAAAACTAAAAACTTGTGTGTCTCAAAGGACATTAAGACAGTGAAAAGAAAACCCACAGGAGAAAATATCTACAAATATATATATAATCTGGAACTTATATGTAAAATATATAAAGAGCTCTTATAATTCAATAATAAAAGAAAACCCAATTTAAAAGTGAGCAAAGGATTTGAGTAGACATTTTTCCAAAGAAAATATGCAAAAGGTCAATAAGCACATGAAGAGGTGCTCAACATCATCAGAAAAATGAAAATTAAAGTCATAATGAGACAGATACACTTCACATCCACGAGGAGGGCTACCATTAAAAAGACAAGTAATAACAAAATTAAACCAGTCAATCCTAAAGGAAATCAATCCTGAATATTCACTGGAAGGACTGTTGTAAAAGCTGAAACTCCAATACTTTGGCCACCTGATTTGAAGAGCAGACTCACTGGAAAAGACCCTGATGCTGGGAAAGACTGAGGGCAGAAGGAGATGGAGGCAGCAGAGGATAAGATGGTTATACACCATCACTGACTCAATGGACACAAATCTGAGCAAACACCAGGGGATACTGGAGGACAGAGGAGCCCGGTGTACTATAATCCATGGGATCACAAAGAATCAGACATGATTTAGCAAATGAACAACAACATAATAACAAGTATTGGTGAGGATGTGAAGCTGGAACCCTCATACACTGCTGACGGGGTTAGAAAATAGTGCAGCCACTCTGGAAAACAGTCTGCCTCAAAATGTTAAATACAGAATTATCCTATGACCCAGAAATTTCACTCTCAGAAATATATACACCCAAGAGAAATGAAAACATATATATGCCCATACAAAAACTTTTATACAAATGTTTATAGTGGTGTTTATATTAGCCCCAAAGTGGAAATATTAAAAATGTCCATCAACAGATGAAGGGATAAATAAAATGTGGCATAGCCATACAATGGGAGATTAGAAATAAAACAGAAAGTAATAAAAAAAAAGAAATGAAGTAATGATACATGCTACAATATTAATGAACCTTAAAGCATAATGCTGAATGAAGAAGTCAGTTACAAAAGAGCACATATTATATAATTCAATGAAGGTGAAATATCCAGAGTAGGCAAAATTATACAGACAGAAAGGAAATCAGTAGTGACCTGGGCCTGGGAGGTTAGGAAGAAAATGGAAAGTAATTATCAGTAGGTACATAGTTTTGTTTTGGGGTAATGAAAATGTTCTAAAATTGATTATGTTCTAAAACTATACACTCTAAATGAATGAATCAAATGGTATGTGAATAAACCTTCTATTTAATCAAACACACAACTGAAGTATAGAGCCTGATGGTATAATATGTAACACTGCTAAAGAAGCTAATTAGTAAGTCAAACATTAAGTGAATATACTTAGCCAGATCACAATTCAAATAAGAAAAGCTAAAAAAGACTGACAATCAAAAGTTTTCCTAAGTGAGTTATCAAGTACTTGCCACTTAAGACACTACTCTTTCTAGCCTCTTTTTTTTTTTAACTCAAAGACCAGCTCATCACATAAAAATTAAATTTTTTTTTCCTTTAATTTCTGCTTTTCTTTTATCACTGAAACAACGGGCTAGATGGCTAATGGCTTGAGCAGTACTCTAGGGCTGCTGCTATATTTGGTTGGGGATCAAAAAAGTCCAGGATCTGGACCTCAGACTTTCAAGTTAAAAAATCTGACTTTATGCCACTTAAGAGCAAGAAATAGGCTCTTGGGAAACCAACTCATTAATCAAATCCATAGGAGACTAGCTAACAAACCAAAATGTCAATTTATTCACTTGTAATAGAGGCACAGCCTTTTTAATAACCAAATGACTAGGATTTTAGAGACCCTCACCTAGGGGTGCATTTTTTTGCTGTCAAAATTAGAATGCTTTGTAAGTGTGACTTTAAACAGAGGGGTTTGGGAGATCTGGAGATGAATATCACCGTTCAGCAATATAAGGCTTTATCCCTTCTCTACTACAAAGCTCCCTTTCCTAGGAGACATGGATATTTATATGTTTCCCTTTCAAAAGTGCTAAACAAGAATTATCTGATTGCTTTCCTTAAAAAGTAAGTTTTGGTGACCAAAAATAAAGATTTACTTTTTTGGTAAATTTCCCACCAGTCTTTTCTTCTGTTTTTAAATACAGTTCAACTTCTATTGTTTATACTCTTTGTGGCTTGCCTTTCTCATTTAACATTTTAAGAAATTTTCTATCTTACAACATATTAAAAATAGTTTAACTTGAGTCATAATATCCCTTTGAGTGGAATATATTTGTTTATCTCCTCTCCTTCTGTGAGACATTTATATTGTTCCAATTTTTTGAAGTAATTAAGTATTAAAAATAACACTTAAAATTTTTTTGAGGCTTAGACCCCCCCCTTTTTTTTTTAAAAGGATTATTTCCTTGGGACAGTTCCCAGAAGTGTAACTACTAGGTCAAATGGCATGAATGCCTTTAAAGCTCTTGAAATATACCACCAAATTGCTTTCCAAAAAGTTTGTATCAATATACACTCCTAGCAGCATGGAAGCGTGCCTGCTTTAGCACTACCTCAGCAGTAAATTTAAGTTTGAGTAAGTTAGGAAATAAAAAGCTGATCAATGCTTTCTAATTTGATGCAGATGCTGAGATGTTTCTGGCTTTGCCTGCAGGTGCTCCTACATTCCTATTTCAGAGAATCTGGCTATTTAGGCACCTGAAATTTTTCCAAGGGATGCCATCTATACCAACTCTCACTTCACTTAAGTTTCTAGAGCATAGAACCTACCTCAACCAGTCACCCAGCATACAGCACTTCTGACCCTCATGACAGCAGATCTTTTCTAGACTTCTAACAGTCAATCCCCCTGTGATTACATCTGTTATACCCTTTGTTTGATCACAATGTTCATTAACATAGCATATTAAAACTACCCAAACTGCACACTTTTGCTGTTGATGACTGCTTCAACTGGCTGTTTCCAAATGACAAAGAGAGATTCTGCAACCTGATCAGTAAGCTTTTACTAGATCAAAATTCATTCAAAATTATTTACTAGGTATATATTGTTGTTGAGTGGTTCAGTAGCTAAGTCATGTCTGACTCTTTTTGCGACCCCATGGAATGTAGTCAGCCAGGTTCTTCAGT